GCATTCCTAGTGCATGAGGTTCATTGAGATATTCTGCAATGAAGGATTATTGTTATTAGCAGACACAGCTTTTTCTGCCTTGGTTTTGGGCATTTGCTAGGAAAACTTTTTAACCAATGTTGCCAAGGAGCAAATTTGACATGTTTCATAGTCTTCTCACCTTTTACAGACAGAATTCTCATTAAGTGCCTGATATTTTTATTCCTGTAACATCTTGGTGTTGCTGGAAGCATATCAATTGATAACAGAACACCTTTTAAATAAATTCAGTATTGAATAAACACCTGCTCATGAAATCTGTAGCTCTCTCTGTGCAGTATGGTAGCAGATGCTCTTGATGAGTATGATACAGACTGACAGGCAAGTTAGATACTAACAAACTATACTACTGATGAGTCTGGATGCTCTGGAAGATTATGTGACAAAAAACTCTCTATTTCCCTCTGAAATAAAAAAAAAAATACTATCTGCATGGGGAAATGAAAAATCATTTTTAGTTTAAGATCATCATAAGATCCAAAGTATTATTTGATGTTTGAACCAAACTGAATTCTCTAGAGATTCTGGCTTTTCCTATGCCTTTCATTTTCAGATGTGTACTCTTGCAGAAAAGGATTTCTGGTCAAGGGAAATGAAATTTCAGAAGCACAGGTAGGAAGTGGGGTCTGTGCTGATAATACTGAGCTGTCTAGATAAACTGAGAGACACTGTTAGTCTTTTGCAAAGGCTGACACGAGATGTCTAGACAGACAGGTTTATACAAATGCCAAAAGTGAACACAGAGTCAAATTTTCTCTTTTTTTTTTCCTATGGACTGAGAAATAGCTTGGAAGTCATAAGTAGGCTGAATAAAATTAAATTTTACTCTTAAAGAATTTGGCCGTGGTACTCTGCTGCTTTGACACAAAAATGTGTGGTGTGACCACTAAGGAAGAATGGAATGGAATGGAATGGAATGGAATAGAATAGAATAGAATAGAATAGAATAATTTCAGTTGGAAGAAACCAACAAGGATCATCTAGTCCAGCTGCTAGTGGGACCTCTAAGAGGTTAATCAGAAGAAATCTCAGAGCAATGTATCCCTGGCATGAATTTTATTGCCACTGAGGGACAACTCTCCTTGCTCCTAGCCCAACACAGTTTCTGTTCTGTTCTCTTGCTCTCTCAGCAGCCTGTGATGGCAGTCACCACCTGCCCTGCTTCCAGGTTTTTTTCCCTTAGTAAAAGTGAGCTAGGTCTGGTGACAAGCATAGTTTGTTAATTCAGCTGTGTTTACAGCCAGTCCTGAAAGTATTTTAAATGTCTAAAATTCTGCTTCTATGCATAAAGCTTAAGAATGGATTAATCTTAAGAAAGAAGGTAAAGCAAAAAAATTTTGTCTTAGTGGGAGCTACTTATAGCTACAAACATGAGATTCTTGGATTGGAAGTGAAGGTTCTTACCTGTGTGAGTAATAGCGCACAAACCTGTAAAATAAGAATAGGAATAAATGTTCACGTTTTCCAAGAGAGATTGGCACTGAGCCTATGCTTTTCAGAATACTCGGCTATTATTTGGGAAATAATATGGAAAGTAAGGTGAAAAAGTGTCGTAACAACCTAAAGTACTCAAAGTGAGAGTAAGACTGTGAGAACCAGTGAAAGGTCTGCCTGAGTCAGCTGGAAAAAAAATGGCAGAAGAAAGTCCATGTAGATGAATGTGAAATGATGTAAAGAGAACACCCATCCCAAAATCTGACTTCACCTGTGCAGGGATGCAGTTTAACCAGTCATTTGGGAATCCAATCTTAGAATTTTAATATTTTTTTTAAAACTCTATGTCCAGTAACAATTGGAAGCAGATAGGATATTAAAAATTATTAGGAAAAGAATAATGATAAAAACACACCTATGTCTTCATTTCAAATCCCTAAAATCTATTAAACTCTGTTTCATTCTTGTATTTTTATCTCCTGAAAATATTACACCTTCAAAGTGTTCAGGAAAGGACAGTAATAATGATCAAAGGAATGAAATAGCTTCAAGTGAGTAAAGAACTACTTTCTGTCCTGTAATTATACCCTTCCCAAGGCATTTCCTATGGGCTTCTGCTGGGGACAGGATGCTGGATTGTGAGGACCTTTGATGTGGCCTGGTATGGCAGTGCTTCAGCTCTGCTGTGTCTGTTGTGGAGGGAGGAATGTGATACCAGAGCAAACCAGCAGAGTTAAATTTCACTGAAACACAATATTCCCCACTGCTTTCCTTTGAAGAAGTGCTGCTTTCCTTTTACAAGGGAAGTGTAAGAGTGAGTAAGGCTGTAAAGGAATTCAGGTTAAGCACTGCCTCATCTTGAGAAGTTCAAACACACACCTTCTATCTCTAAGGGGATTTCCTCCCTAAAAGACTGGAATTAAAGCTATTCTCCAAATAAATATTTAATCAGGTTTTTGACTTGCATTTGGCTATGTCTTCATTAGCAAGCAGCACAGCGGAACAGGAGCAGATCTTTAGAGTGAGTCAAAAGGAATCCAGCTCATGTGCCAGGGATGGCTCCAGGGATGAGCCACGTGCTAGGGGAGTCAGTGGAGGGTTTTGCTTCACAGCGATAACCCTGATACAGCACTACATGCTAATATGGGTGTGCTCTCTGGGAATCTAGCTCTTGGCCCTGTGTGTAATCAGGCTGGATACAAGTGGAGAGAGACAACCTGGTTTTTTTTTGTTTTTTTTTTTTTTTTGGAACAGCCAAATTTGAATGGAAGAGTGGGGCAGAATGATCTAGGATAATCACAAGAGGATGATAACATTGGTCTGAGTGCCTTTGGGCTGAGAACAGTGCTGTTCAGCAGAATCCTTGTGAGGTATTGCACTATTTCCATTAAACTCTCCTCTCAACTGCTTCACAAATGAAGGTACAATCCCACGTTGTCTGCCAGAAAAGACAGTTTAGGCAAAAATGACGGGATGTTTATGAATCTTAAAGTGCTATATGAAGCCCTCTAATGTTCATCCTAAAAGAGTGAAGAAATGCAAGTCACTTCAGTTTCTTCAGTGTTTTTAAAAATTTAATGCCTGGATAATCTTCTCAGAGGTGCATAACTTTTTCTAAAATAACAGATGAACTCAATAAAGTTACACACAGCATAGGAACCCAAATTGTGAATTTCACCTTACAGTTGTAAAAAAGACCTTTCTTTTGCCTTTAACGATACGAAAACTATAACAAGGAATGAAAATAACATTCTGTTGAGGGCTTTCTGTCATATTTGACATCTTAAGATCTTCCAAACCCTCACATTATGCTTCAAGTTACTCTTTCAGTTTATCAAACAATGAATTGTTAGAAAGATATATTCCTAAATAACATGTAAGCAGTAGCTTGCTTATCTTCACTTATATCTGGGCTACTTCATCTTGGATTTCAATGCTAACAGAAGCTGCATGTGCGGGACCAAGGCCCATTTCAGTTTTCAGCAGCCAGAATTTTACCATTTGATACTTTCTTCACTGACTTGGGTTTTGTAGCAAGGTGCTGAACCTAAAACCCGTTTTCACCCCAGTAAAAAAGAAATTCCTTCTTCTGCTATTGTTTTTGCAGTGCTTATGCTGTAGTCTAAAGATTCATTTGGGTTTAAGCCCCTGTAGACCTTATTTCCTTTAGATACTAAACTAATTCCTCTGAGCAGTAACTCCTATCACATTTGCAGACGTAGGTGCTGTCTAAATTTCCTGACAAGGACTGTGAAAGCAAGAGCTTTAGCCAAGAACACAAGGAAATGTTCAGCTTCTTATGTTTGGGGTTTTTTCGTTAGTTGGCTGGTTTGGTTTGGTCATAGATTTATTTATTTTATTTTTATCTCACAGCAATTTTCAGACTGTTTTTCATAACACGGTTCATTAACTAGCTCCTTTAAAAATATCTCTCAAGAGTACTACAAATATATTTTGGCTGCCATTTTATTGCTAGGAAGTAGGATGGTTAACTGCAGCCAGAGAATGTCCCAAGCTCCTAATATCCACAGAAGTAACAAGGGTTTGTTGCACAGCAAAATATTCATTACATTAAAAGGGGAATGACTCTAAAATTTTCTGAAGGCTTCCCACTCTAAGCAGCCATCTATCCTGTGTTATTACCTATTTTTTATCTGCTACTTATTTTTCCTCTGGGAGAGGAAATTGTCTGGCTGACAAAATAAAGCAATCCTCAGCTTTGATTTCAGTGGAGAAATATTTTACATTGACATATGCATGAAATAACTCAAAGAATTTGCTTTTAATTGCTTTGTAATAATAGTTTTGAATGACCTGTAATTGAAAATACTTCTCTCAGGTTTCTCCTTAATTAAAATCAGCATTAGCTTTCTTCCTCATGGTATAACCACGTGAAACAAGGACAAATACTGGATTCTGCACCTGGGACAGTGTAATATATGAGTATGTAAGTATACTTATAAGGTTGTAAGAATGTAAGTATATTTATATGGATATAAGTAGAGACTGAGGGACAAGAGGTGCACATGCAGCCCAGCAGAAAGTGATCTGGAGATTTTGCTTGATGGGAAGTTCACAATGAACTGTGAGTGTTCCCTGGCAGGCAAAAGGGCCAACTGTATCTTGGGGTGCTTTAAGCACAGTACAGAGAATGGGCAGTTGCTAAACCAGAGCACTGCTGTGGCCTCAGCTGGAGTATTCCGTTTTGGGCTCCACAAGATAATTAGGATATAAATATAAAATGTGTTGAGCCCAGGTGGACAGCATGGTGAAAAGAGTGGAGAGCACGACTTGGTATGGGTGGGTGAGGGTGCTGGGTTTGTTCAGTTTGGAGGGATGGAGGGGTGACCGTGTTGTTGACAATTTCCTCATGATGGGGACAGAGTTGGGGTGCTGATCTCTACTGTCTGGTGTCTGGTCACATGATGGAACTGCCTAAATTTGCAGTTGTAAGTTTAGATTAGATATCAGATAAAAATTCTTTACTGGGAGGATGGTCAAACACTGGAACAAATTCCACTGGAGAGTGGTTACAACCCCAAGCCTGTCAGTGTACAAGAAGCAATTGGGAAATGCTCTTAGACATGTGTTTTATCTTTTATGTTTCCCTTTTTGAAGTTAGAAGATGGACATGCTTATCCTTGTGGGTCTCTTCCAGCACAGGATATTCTGTGGTTCTGTGATCCTGGTACAAAGGTAAACCTACCCTTCAAACCCATCAGAGGGAATTAATCTCTTCTGTGTATTTTTTTTCACATTTTTGCTTAATTATATAGTAAAAATAGATATTCATGCTAATAACTGTGTTCCTTCTTCTTTACAGAATTTTGGAAAATGGTAAGTAAACATATAAAAGCCTATGATAAAGAAAATGAGAATAAAGCAATACAAAACATATTTTTTCAACTTTAATTTGTGTTTGCATACAAGAAATACTTCTGTGTGTATTACTATCTGTGTATTATTATCTGTGTGTTATAGAACTTTCACATAAGCTTTATTTACAGTGAAGCTTCTTCTAATAATTAACATAAGCCCTAAACACCGTAAAGAACAAGCTAATGCTATTCAAGTTTGAAATATAAAAGCCTACATGAATGTTGAAATAAATAATTTCTAATTTATAACATATTTTGCAACTTAAATCTTACTCATTTTAACTCTGCCCTATTTTAAGCTGAAAAACATTTGTATAATAAATGACTACTTTAAAATCTAACTGTTGTGAAAAACAAATTCTATTTTATATATGTGTATAGACACAGATCTTTAAAATTTGTGTATTTCCATTGAAAACTCTCTGATATTAAGCAGCTGAGAAACTGGACCCTTAAAGTCCCTTTAAATTAGTCTACAATAATGGAAAATGCACCCAATTAGATTAATCTAAAGCAGGTCATGCTCCATTTCAAAAACAGCTGTTTGTATAACAAAAGACAAGTATAAATCCTCAAAGTTTAGGGGATAAGATATATTAGTAGTTTATGGATAAAACTAGCCTTTACATTACAAGTCAGCATGTGAAGTCCTTTGAAGTCAAAAAATTAAATCCTTGTAGTGTCAAAGTCAACCAAAGAAAAAGTACTTACGTGAAAGATTTTTAATTAGATATGAAAGGACAGAGAAGAAAGACAGACAAGTCAATTCTTTTCAAACTTCTTTGAATTCAGGCAGTTGGTACCTTTAGCTGTGTCCAGATTCTCTTTCAAGTCAATCTCCAAATGCAAGAGGAAAAATGGCTTTATTGTATATAATTCATGCTGGTTTGGATAAAGCTGGATATATTTTGACTTCCTGTCAGATAGATATTTTTTTCTTTAATTCTAGACTGCCTGTTTTCTCCATTGTCAGTTTTCCCCTCCACACTTGCTTGATTGGACTTGGATCAGGGAAGACAAAAATCCTGCTATCTTTGTGTGTCACCTTTTTCCTCTTTCTCACTGTTGTTGACACTTTATCTTGCTTCTGTGAAGATGAGATATCATTGCAGTCATTGTGATTTTTCCATTCTAGACAGTCTGTTTACTCCCACTGGGTATTTTTAAAATAATGTCTTTAAAGAAAGGTCTTTCTTTTCACTAATGTCAGGCAGAAGAGACAGTAAAGAACAATTCAAAACAGAATGTTCAGGTCCTTGGTTTCAGCTAAGTGTCTCAGGAAAGGCAGAGTTTTATCTCTTAATTTTTACCTGATTTATCTTCATTGCTTATCTAGCTATTTAACTGCTCTATTCACATATAATTTAATTATGTTCTTAAGGACAACAATCTTTAGCCACAGCAGCACTGTGGTACTTCAGCACTTATCCACTACAGAAGAGACACCATTTACTTTCAGTAGCAGAGATTGCTTTCAATAGTCATTTAAACTTGCAAACAGCAGAGAAATCTGAACATAACAAAGAGCTTAAAATATCTTTATTACCACAGCAACACTGCTATGAAAGCAAGGTCTGCATTTTATTTTCCTTCTCATAGTCTTCTTTCCATATTACTTGGATGTATATTTAAAAAAACCCAACCTTTTATAGTTAAAATTGTGGCCTATCACCAATCACATACCCAGCAATACTTTTTTTTAAAAAATCATTTCCATACATGTAATTCTAAATCAGGAGAAGATGTCTTTTAGAAAGCCTAAAAATACACTTCATTTTTGCATTACTTGTTTATATTAGATGACTGTTATGGTATAAAACTGAGTGTGGAATAAATGCTATTGAACTCATAGGAGAACTGTAACAACTTTATGAGTATGAAGAATTTATTTATTAATATAAAAGTACTTTTTTAGGTGATTGAGAACTGAACTGTATTCAAGAAGAAAACTCTGGAAGAAAACGTATTTTATTGCTTCTTGTTACAAAGTAATTTCTAACAGTGGATTTTTCTCCTATTGCTTGCAGTTGTCGTAATCTTTCAGAATAGAAAAGCATTTATTTATTAAAGGAATAAACTGTATTTAAAATTTTGGATCTTTTGAGCTATCCCTCTCATGTAAAGTTTGTGCACTCCTGTAGTTAAACTCTGAGAGCTACTGAAACAAAATGAGAGTTCCAATCAATTTCTGTTTCCTTGCAGGAGAGAAGAGTAAAGAGAGCTGTTAACCTACTGGTTATCTGGAAACCATGCCACCTTAATCCTTTTAATTGATTCTGTATTTTTAATCCTTTTTTGATTCTGAATTCCTAAGCAAACCCAAAATATTAAAAAAAAAAAAAAAAAGGAATTTATTTGAAGTATCTATTGGTAAAGAGGTTCTACTTAAATATTGCTTCAGGAAAAGTGTTCAGTGAAATTAAGATGATATTGTAGTGTTTTTTAGAAAGAGCTAATTCTGTTTTACAAACTCTGTTGCAGAGAGCCGAATGACATTATTCTGTAGCTCTGTCTTTTTTGGGAAAACACACAGAGTCCACACAGCTGAACCTATTCAGCTTCACATCAGTGGCTACAAACACGTATAATTAAGTAGAGGAGCTCCTCAGAGGAGACTATTGAAGTGCTGCCTGCCTCTATCTGATTTATTTGTAAGTGTAGGTATTAATGTTATATAGCAAGTAGAGTAGCACACAGGGTTTTGGTATTCTCTAGAGGCTTACAGGTCTTTACTTGAGGAAAAAATTAATAGAAAACAGTAAATAAAAATCAGTATTTTAGCCTATTATGACATCCCTGTTATAGCCTCGTGACTATTTAATTTGAAATTCTGTAGATAAAGCTAATTTCTTAGTTTCAGAGTATCAGTTTCTAGAGACAATTTTAGTTATTAAGAGCTAGATAATTAGACATCTGGAAAAGAACCTGAATATATTAGACATGATTGTTTTTTTCTGTGTATCTGTGGGAAAATGAAAAGCTTTCTTCTGAGTGATGTTCTGTGTCACATCATTTCAGTGTGTCCTATACACACAACCTGTTGGGATGTTATCATGAAGTCTGGATGCTCTATATAAATATCACTGGTTGTTTTAGAGTATTTCTGTCTGATATAATTTTAAAAATAATGTTTTAACTTTTTAAATCTCAATACTTCTTGACTGTTTCACGTGTCATTCAGATGTTTAGAAAGAATAGTAAATTAAGATTAATTCTCTACCTTTCAATGATTCCTTGCCCATCTGACTGACTTCAAATTACTTGTTTCTCATTATGAGTGAAACATATACATGGTTGTTTCCTACAGCATTGGAAAATTCTGTTTACCCCTAATTCAAAAATTGATGAGACTGAATGACTGTTATGATCCTGTTAGATATTAGATTTCTACTTTTTTGTTGTTGTTGTTTTTTTTGTTTTGTTTTTGTTTATGATTGTTATTATATACAACAGTAAGGTTTTTTTACAGAACTTCAGTAGCACAGAGCTGATAATTTTTTGTATCTTTTTCTTTGGCTGGACATCTGATGGCCATTAACAACCAAGCATTCTGATGTGTTATTCATCTGTGCTGATATTGCACAAAGGATTTTGCCACCTGTTCAATTTTTATCCACTGAATGAAATTATTGTATTTAGATGGGAAGCTTTTACTGCTTTGAGTTAAATGTGAAGGACATAGTATCAGAATGTGAAGTTCAGCAGGCAGTGCTCACAAAACATACTAAATCCCATAGTTTTGAATCTCAAGGAGTGTAATTTCTCAGGGAAGTTTTGCTTGCAGTTGTTTGGAGCTGCAGATGTGTTTACAGATATTGAGTACTGTATTCAGCAAGTCTCTGTCTCAGAAAGTACAGCTGAAATTTTTTCCCAATTATTTTTGAGGTCTCGCATTTTTAGAATAGTAAGAATCCCACACTCTGGCCCTACCACTGACAATCTATGAGGTGGCACTGGTTATTTCTCAGTTAATCTGAGATCATGATTACAAACACTCTGAAAATAATGAAGGAACAATCCCACAGCCAAACTTAAAGAAACAGGGTTGCAGAGCTAATCTCTCCCTTTTCACCTGTATGCCAAATGGAACAAGAGGAGGTTTTTAAAGATATGATTCAGGCATTTATAATGGAAATCTAGTCTGCATAGCTCAAGTAAGAATATGTCATCATGAATTTTAAGGATCCATTGAAATATCCAAAACAATGCTGAAATTTCCTATGTAGTTAATAGACTTGAATGCCTTTGAAAGCTTCCAGAGGGCAAGCATGCCCAACTAATTTTAGTTTTTTAAATTAATGGTTAGTCACATTGGATGTAATGCTCTTTTCTGATCAATGCTAATCTATAAAAGCTAGAAGTGATTTAAAATGTACAAAGTCCAAAGGTTTAAACTATACAAAGTCCAAAGGAGATGAGATGCTCACAAGTTTGTGCACAAAAATGAGGTGTCACTGCTCTACTTAAGGCTTTTGGCTACTCTGAGGTGTTCAGCATCAGAAGGACAAATGTCTTGGGAGAATGTTGTCATGTCACCCTGTGTTAAGAGGGAAAAATATTTTGCATGTTTGGAATAGCATAGATTGCATGTGATACTATTGAACAAAATTCACTTGCAAGTGAGGTTTCTACAGCTGTAAATATGTTTGTATGTGTGGAATCATGAGATAGATGAAGACATTTCTTAGGTATATAAAAGAAAGAAAACACTCTTGCCCCCTGCAAACTCTCAACTGTAATCTCAGAAGCCTAGAATTTTTGCATTAAATTCTCATTTCAATTAAATATATCACAATGAATTTACTTTGGGCTTGTCTTTAGCTTTAGGATGAAGAGCAAGGACATTATGAATCTCAGTGAAATACATAATTTCACATGGGTTTTGGGGTATATTCTCCCTGCAAGCTTACAGAAATTCCTTACAATCAAACACTATTTCCTGTAGGGAGATGCCTGAAAGCTTTAGAGCCTATAGCAGTTAGGATCTGTGTTACCCACTTAAAAAACTCTAATTTTCTTTTAGATATCACCAAATCATCAAGGTTAGAAGATACCTCCAAAGTCATCTAATCCGGCTGTCAACCTAACACCATACTAATCTCCCCCGAACCTATCCCCACATATTTGTAAAATAATAATGCCAAATATTTTGTACCATCTGAAAATGTAACCTTACTCTATTATGCCACCTAAGCAATAAAAATGACACTTTGAGATTAAAAGAGTTTCAGATATTGTAAATTTGAAAGTTGTCTTCCATCTCTGGTTATATTCTTTGCTGCTTCTATTCATAGGAAGAGTTCAAAGAGGGAAAAGAGATGCTATGGATCATCTAGTCCAAACTCGTCTAACTTCAAAGCTAAATTAGGATGCTCAAGGCCATAGCCACATAACAAGTGATTCCACTGTTACATTTCTTTGATGTTTCTATGTACAAAATAGAACTCAAATTTACTAAGCATTTTGCAAAACCTGTTTGATATTTTTAAAGTACGAAAAAGTTGTGTTGGCTCCCTAAGATCTTACTTTATTTTTCCTTTAACTGATTTCAAAATCCCACAAAATTAACAAAATATTTTTGATGTATAAAGACAGAATCATGTTGTTATGACAAAAAACCCCCCAAAACAGCCCAACAAAACCCCCCCAATCTTTTGACATCAACTTTCTAAAGCAAATGGTTGAACACATAACAAAGTCCATAAGAAGTACAGTTCACCAAGGCAGTCAAAATTTTGTTAACTTTTGTTAGCTTAGTTAAAAGTACAATAGGAATGTATCTTCTTTCTTTCAGTGTAAAACCAATAATTTTAAATTTCTTAGAACTGGAAGAAAGCTAGGTCGGTACAGAGGTAAAATAGTGGAACACTCTTTAACTAAAAAATGAGATAGAGAAGACACTATGAGGAATATAGCTACAAAGTCTCCCTCTCTACCAACAGATGCCTTTTATTTCTCTGAAGTGATTTTCACACAGCTCTTTATGTACAGAATTAACTTCAATGTATTTTTGCCTCACATGCAATCTCTTGATCAGCTTCTAGCACGGAACATATTTTCAAGCTTTGTGTCTGGCATCCAAAAATCCCTCATTTCCATGTTGGCACACTGTCCTTCAAACGCTCCTGCTAGTATATTAATAGGGCTCCTTAGATGTTTTCTTCCACTTCCTGGAACCTATGCTAAATCAGATATGTATCCATTTCTGGAGGAAAAACAAAGTTTCTCTGATCTTTTTTAACTTTGAAATTTTAAATGATATGTCAAAATCATTACTACTTGGTGTAAGAATCAGTAGCATTTAAAGAGTTGCCTTGCAAATATTACAGAATTTGTTTGAAGGGCTGGACCACTCCCACTTTTCATTTTTTTCCATGGTTTTAACAGGGAGCAGGGGTACAGCTCTACTCACTCCACAGAACTGCAATAATTGAACAAAATATTTTAAATTGCTAGCTAGTTCTTTAAATTTCATAGTATTTTGAAATCTAAATGTGGTTTTAGATTTAATTTTCTCTTCTCAGCAACCTTTAGAGAGAACTATCAATTTACTCCACTTGAGAGTGCAGGGATCTTACAAGGTTTTCAAAGCTGGATCATTGCATAAATAATACCCAGTTTTGCTCTCCCTGGAGAAAAACAAAAAAACCTAAAAAATTTACTTGAAATAATACTTAATTACCTTTCAAGTGAAATGAAACATGAAGTAGTAGAGTAAGATATCATAGAAACACTTTTATTTCAGATGACAATACTAGCATATAACAGGTTTTGATATGTTAAATAAACATTGTATTCTTAAATAAAGTTTGCACAGGATATTTTTATTTAAAAGTCCTGCACTGAATATGAGAAGAATAGATGTGTTTTTTAATATTGCATCTTTACTGAAAGGGATAATTCAGTGTGAAACCTGAAGTTTTTTTCCCAGAAGTTGGCTTTATACCACTGTATGTACTTTAACATAAATGTGGTCATTCTGGAGCTACAATGTCCAGAGTCTTCCCCCAGTAACAACTACTTTAATGGGCAACAGTGGCACTGGTGTGTTCTTAGGACACAAATTGGCCCACGATTTTCTGATTATTTGTATTTAAATATTGTATCTCCATTCATTTGAACAGTTACACTGAATTGTAACCTCTGTGAACAAAATACACCTACCTTTCTTTGACATTTTTTTAACCATAGGTTTACTTTTTTTTTTTTTTTTCAATTTATAGATAATATTACACTTTCTAATCTGTCCTGGACTCAAAAGAGTGAGTATGTTTTTTTAGCTCCTCTATTCCTGCAAGGATTTAGACTCCAA